TCTAAAAAATGGGCCAATTCCTCAAAACCCACAATTACCAAAATTCAATAAAGATGAAATAGACAACCTGAATAGTCCTTTAACTATTAAGAAAATTAAATTTTTAGAATGCTCTCAAACTATTATCTAGACTAATATCTCTAATGAACTTAGACACAAAAATCCTCAATAAAATATTAGCCAATAGAATCCAGCAATGCACAACAAATTATATACCATAACCACGTGGGATTTATTACAGGTATGCAAGGCTAGATCATGTGCAGTTGAGTCCAGGTATGTAAGTCTGATTGAAAAATCAATGAATGTGACCCACCATGTCAACAGCCTAAAGAAAACAAAAAAATCATACGATCGTTATCAATTGACACACAAAACCATTTGACAAAATCCAACACTCATTTGTGATAAAAACTCTCAGCAAACTAGAAGTAGAGAGGAGCTTCCTCTACTCGGTAATAAACATCTACAAAATATAACAGCTAACAATATAACTCAATGAAAGGCTGAATCCTCTCCCCTAAGATCAGGCACAGGCAAGAAAAAGAAATAATGGATAAAGATTGAAAAGGAAGAAATAAAGTAGTTCCTAATTTCTATAAAAAAAGTACCACAATATCAATCTATACTAATAAGTGAGTTTACCAAGGCTGCAGAATAAAAAATCAGTACACAAAAATCAATCACACTTCAATATACTAACAATGAACATATGGAATTTGAAATTAAAACACACTTATAGTCCATTTACCATTACATTACCATTTACAGTCACTCTAAACAAAATGAAATTCTTAGGTATAAACTTAAAAAACATGTACAGGATCTGTATGCTAAAACCTATAAAGTGCTGAAGAAAGAAAGAAAAAAGAACCTAAATAAATGGAAAAACATACAAACTTCATGAACAGGAAGGTTTAACATAGTAAATATATCAATTCTCTCCAAATTAATCCATAGGTTTTTTTGTTTAATATGTTTTTATTGATTTTTTAGAGAGAGGGGAAGGGAGAGGGGTAGAGAGAGAAACATTGATGTGAGAAAGAAACATTGATCAGCTACCTCCTGCACGCCCCCTGCTAAGAATTGAGCCCACACCCTGGGCATGGACCCTGACCAGGAATCAAAAAGGCAACCTTTTGATGTAGGGGATGATGCTCAACCGAGCCTCACTGACCAGGGCATTAATCTGTAGGTTTAATGCATTCATATCAAAATCCAGGCAAGGGTTTTTTTTTTTGACAGAGAGACAGATAAGCTTATTCTAAAATTTGTACAAAAAGCCTTGGCCAGGTGGCTCAGTTGGTTGGAGTGTTATTCCGTACACCAAAAGGTTGTGGGTTTGATTCCTGGTCAGGGCACATACCTAGGTTATGGGTTGTTCAATCCCCGGTCAGGGCACATACAGGAGGCAACTGATGTTTCTTTCTCACATTGATGTTTCTCCCCCGCACCCCCAATTCCTCTCTTTAAAAATCAATAAAAACACATCCTTAGGTGAAAATTAAAAAAAATTTTATATGGAGAGCCTCTAACACCTGGAATAGCTAAAACAATCTTGAAAAATAAGAATAAAGTGAGAGAAATCACTCTACCCAATACCAAAGCCTAATATACAGACAAGACATTATGGTACGGACAGAGGGACATCAGTGGAAGAGAAAACCCAGAAATATACCCATACAAAACATGCCCAACTGACTTTTGAAAAAGGTGCAATATTGGACACACACAAGACAAATAAGTAACCTCAATCTAAACTTCACACTTCATATAAAAAATAATTCAAAAATGGATTATGGACTTAAATGTAACATGTAAAACTATGAAACTTCTAAGTATAAAACTTTTACAAAAAAAATAAAAATCTTTAGACTTGACTGCAAAACCAAGACTCATAGAAGGAAAAAAAAAAAAAAAAAATCAATAAATTGAACCTCATCAAAATTAAAAAAACTCTGCTCTTCAAAAGGCTCTGTTAGATTGAAAAGACAAGATACAAACTGGGAGAAAATACTTGCCAACCACAATTCTGACAAAGGACTTGTACCTGGAATGCATAAAGAACTCTCAAAATTCATCAGTGAAAACAAACAACCCAAGTAGAAAATGGGCAAAACATGAATGGACACTGCACTGAAAAGAATCTACTGAAGGCAAATAAGCATATGAAAAGACATTCACCATCAGCAGCCAACAGAGAAATGCAAAGGAAAACTACACCTACCAGAATGGTTAAACAAAATAACAGTGACAACATCAAATGCTGTCAGGAATGCAAAGGATAACACAGAGGCATGGAACAGAATGTCGAATCTCAGAGGGAAAGTGGGGGTGGGTGAGGAGAGAGTAAACAAAGACTTTATATGCATATATGTATAACCCATGGACACAGACAATGGTGTGGGGAAGGCCTGGGGCGGGGAGTGGGGGCAGGGTGAAAGTGGTCAATGGGGAAAAAAGGGGACATATGTAATATTTTCACCAATAAAGATAAATTAAAAATAAATAAATTCATCAATCAAAAAAATGCAAAGGAACTGGATCAGAGAAATGTATCTATTGGGAATGTAAAAGAGTATAGCCACTTGGGAAAGGAGTATGGCAGCTTCTTACTAAAATATGTTTTCCATAATAACCCAAGAATTTCAGGGAAATGAAAATTCATGTCCACAAAAACCTGCACATTAATGTTCATAGTCACTTTATTTATAATAGCCCCAAACTGGAAACAATTTGGTTAACCAAATCAGGATATATACAAGCCATGAAATATTACTGCGCAGTAAAAAGGAATAAACTATTGATATACACAACAACTTGGAAGGATCTCAAGGGTATTAGGTTAGGTGAAGAAGTCCTAATTCTAGAGGTTAAGTACTACATGATTCCATTTATATAGCATCCTTGAAATGACAAAACTATAGAGTGTGGGACAGATTAGTGGTAGTCAGGGGTTAGGTAAGAGGGAGGTGTCTGTGGCTAAAAAAGAGTAGCGCAAGGGGTCCTTGTGACAAATTGTTCTGTACCTTGACTGTGGTAGTGGCCACATGATATTGCATAGAAAAACACACACACACACACACACACACACACACACACACACACACACACACAAGTACAAGTTAAACTGGAGAAATCTGAATAAGATCAGTGGATTGTATCAATGTCAATATCCTGGTTGCGATATTTACCATAGCTATGCAAGATTTTACCACTGGGGGAAAATGGGTGAAGGGTATATGAAATGTCTCATTTCTTACAAATGCATGTGAATCTGCAATTATCTCAAAATAAAAAGTTCAGTCCTGGTTGGTGTGGCTCAGTTGGTTGGAGCATTGTCCCATGCACCGAAGGGTCTTGGGTTCAATCCCTGGTCAGGGCATGTGCAGGAAGCAACCAATCAATGTTTCTCTCTTTCCTTTCCTCCCCCCCATCTCTCTCTCTCCCTCACTCCCTCTCTCATAAAAAAAAGTATAAATGACTGGTATTGCTGACAAAAATGCATGTAACCTGGATTTAATGAGGAAGGAACAGTAGACATCAGACAAATTCAAATAAACACCTGGCCTATAACTCTTCCAAAGTATCAATGCCATGAAAGAGAAAAAGAGACATGACAAGTGCATGGGGCATATAATCTGATCGAATAATCCAAGGTTTTCTTTGCTATAAAGAACATTATTAAGACAATTTTACAAAACCTAGAAAAGGTCTATAGATCAAATAATGGTATTGTATTAGAAAACATAATAAAGTATTTAAGGGTAAAGTATTTACTCTCAAATGGTTAAAAAAAGTATATACACATAAAAAAGAAATATGGTAAAATGTTAATAGCCACAAAGCCTGGATAAGGAAATACTTTATACTATTCTTGCAATTTTTCTGTAAGTCTGAAATTATAAATAATAATTATAACAAATTTTTTTTAATAGGGTACAAAATACTGCACAAAGCCTGGTACATAAATGTTCAATAAATTATAGTTTTCAGGTATTTTATACCAATTTTCAGATGAAGAAATATGTTGAGAAGCTAAATAAACTGACAGGAGGAACCATGACAAATTGGTGGTAAGGTCAGGATCTGAACTCAGATCCTCCTATCTGTTCCACACCAAGGTCTGTGCTCCTTTCAGGAGAATGAGGAAGGATGAAAATTTCACCCCTCTTTCTCACCCAAGGATCTGCATGGACTGTTTGAGGAGAAGATGTTATAGAAAAACTGGCCTCAAACCACTCTTTAAGCAAGTCTCTTCTTAGATTCCTAGGAGAAAAGCCTAGGACTGTGACAGGGACCTAACACCTCGAACTCAGCTCCCGGGGTGGCTATTTTGTCTATAGCACATCAAATCAAGTAACAAACTTACTGAAGCCCACCTGTAGGGGCTCCCCCACAAGCAGCGCCCTATCTTTCCTGTGTCTTTATTCACCCACCTGAAGTCCACCAAACCCTCAGGCTGTGCTGGTAAATGGAATTTCTAGGATGGCTATTGTGATATAGCTCTTCTATTGGTGCTTCCCACTCTCCCCATTACCCCACGGCTAAGCTTAGATAGGATAGATAATTTATTTTTAATAGATTTGTTTGTTTCTGAATAGATAATACATAGTTCAAAATTCTCATGGAACAAAAGGGTGTATAGTGAAAGGTTTCCCTCCTCCATTCTCTAGTCTCTTCCCACTGATAACCAGCATTACCAGTTTAAAAATGCAACTTTCTTCAAGTTACTAGAATTAGCTAGATCATGTTATGATATTAAGCTAACCATCTACCTACAATAATGCCCCAAGTGATCACAATAATTTAGTAATTTCCCCATGTAGGCATTTAAAATATTCTTAAAGTACTTGTGCAGACACATTTTCAACATTAAAATGACTGAAGGTTATAACTTTTTAAAAATGAAAATATATTTGTATTATGCATGATCACAACAGATGCCTTACGAACTCTATGGCTGGTAAGCATCAACCACTAGAGTCCTGGCAGCTCACCTGGTTCCTGTCGCGTGCATTTGTGTATCTGATCTTCTGAATGAAGTAGAATATGAGCCATGCTGAAGAAATAATCATCAAAACAATAAAGGATATTGACACGAAGACTAGAGAGCCTCGGCTGAAGTTCTTTGGTGGCATTCGAGTTCCAACAGCTATTGTCATTTGTACAGAGATGTTTTTCTCCAGATAACTCAAAATATCCTTACCCCTCAGTTCTGTAATCATGACAGCAATAATATCTCCAGTGCCTGTAATGTAAAATAAATATATATACTCAAGTGACATTTAAAATTTACAAGAACTTCAAATATATAAAAATGCTTAGAAAAACTACACTACAATTTCTGCTAATGGCATTTGCAGACTCAACTTTTTAAATGAAATGAAGTTGCAGTTGGGTATGCTGGCACCACGCAGGAACAGGAATTTGTTTTATAGTATTTAAGACTTAGACTTAAAGCATAAAATGATTGTAGTGTTAAGAGGTATATTAACTTGTGTTATAACTACCTTTTTAAAAATTATTAAGTCAGTCAAGTGTGACAAGAGACAGTATAAAACACTGTATTATACAACAATAAACACGTAATAAAATCATAGCAGGTTTTCTTTGTAAAACGTTTTCCATCTTAAATGCTCTTTAGAAAGTCCTGCCTGGCCGGGCGTGGCTCAGCGGTTGAGCGTAGACCTAGGATCCAGGCAATTGGGGGGTTTGATTCCTGGTCAGGACACATGCCCGGGTTGTGGGCTCGATCCCCAGTTGGGGGCGTGCAGGAGGCAGCAGATCAATGACTCTCTCATCATTGATGTTTCTGTCTCTCTCCCCCTCTCCTTTCCTCTCTCTGAAATCAATAAAGATATTATTTAGAAAGTTCCAACTCCTTAAGGAGAAAATGCCGTTATTTATAGTACAAAAATTGGTACTTTTTACACTAATCAATCTTAGACACATTTATGGAACACCTGTTGTGTGTAGAACTAGTACAAAAAATTGAAAGAATATAGGAAGTGCAGCTGTATAATAGCACTGAGCGTTAGGGCACAAATCTGATAATTGAGTCAATAGCAGCAAAATGACAAATGGTGGTATCTTTTATTAAGAACAGTTGAAACTAACTTTGGTCCTATGTCTAAGCCTGACTGGAGGAAGGTTCCTTTCTAGTTTACCCCAGAACCCTGCTGGAAATTAAACTCTTCCTGAGGTAAATCGAACCTTCACCACTCTGGATGAGTTTGGCATCAAGATGCTTCCAGCTTCTAACAGCTGTCCAGAGGTTCTGCCACAGCCACAGACTACTGAATTTAATATTAAAGATGTTCTTAAGTTGCACTTCTAGTCACCTAGTTCCTTCACTTACACAATTTACTGTAGTACAGTAAAGGCAAGTGACTATGCACAACATGAAATTACAGTCCATTCTTCTTCCTTTCTCAACTTTTACAGTCTGCCTTCCTCAAGGAGCCCCAAAGACTCTGGGCGTTATAGGAAGGAGAATAAACATTTTATTTTAGGAAAGAGAAAATTATAACCTTATTCAAATTTGAATAAGGTTTGCGCATATAAATGTAGACCATCAAGACAAAATAAACAAACCCTCCAAAACTTGCCCTTTCAAAGGCTTCTTCAATGAATACTACTACTAAATATTTGGTTTATATGTTTAATTTATCATATTTAATAAAAGGGCTATCCTTGTATCATATGCAGTCAAAGACCATTCATAACTGAAAATAAATTCAATACTTAAAAGTTTTATGAAAAATTTAACCCAATGGAACATATATATACCTTTGTATTACCTCATTCAAAACTGTGCCACTTTATCAAAACAGCAATTTATCAGAATACTGACTAAAAACCCCCAAACAAAATGAAAACTGCAAATTTAAAGAAAGCAACAAAGTTAACATTTTCATTATCTTTCTGAAATAAAAGTTCTGATCAGTAAGTTAGAGCAAATCATAACATTATGCTAAACCATTTTAAACTTCCATTTAGAAACCTTAGTTTTGTGCTTTTAAAATGTTGTTCAACAGGCAATGGTCTGTGGTATAAGATACCAGGTATGGCTATAAAGTAACTGAGACGGATCCCACACACGACACATGACAATCAGTCTCATTGCTTTATAATCACACCAGGTACAAACAGGGTTTTAGAAATCAGTTCTGAGGCTCCCTCCTGAAGACTCAAGCTGGAAAAGGAGCAGGGAAAGCTGCACAGGTAGCCAGGGGAAACAACTTCATTTACTCAAAGAACACTAAGTGAGCACCACCCAATTTCAATTGGAATGCTGTGTGGAAAAAGAAGTGTTTAATTATTTCAACCATCATTCAACAATACTTACTGAACACATACTATGACTAAGGCTCTTTAATGTTCACTTTTCAAAAAGAATGGAAAATTACCTACTGTGAAATTAAAAAAGCATATATATATATATTTCTGCTCCTGGTTCTTGGTACACGGCTCCCAAAATCCTTAAAATTTCCTAACTGATAAGCATTAAAAACATCCTTCATCTTTGGTCTTTGGTCTGTAATGCTGGTTCCTGACATGGAGCTCCTGAATCCCTTGGAATTTCCTCCTCGGACCTTCTCCTCATTCCTCGCCTCTAAAGCCGAGCTGGCCTCAAGATCTTGATTTAAGGATGCCTCTGACACTTGATTTTTAAAGATTTGCAAAGATGTAGCAGGATACAAAATAAATATCCAGAAATCAGTTGCATTTTTATACACCAATAATGAACTATCAGAAAGGGAAACTAAGAAAACAACCCCATTCACAACTGCTTCAAAAAAAATAAAATAACTATGAACGAACTTAACCAAGGATGTAAAAGACCTGTACATGGAAAATTATAAGACATTGAAGAAAGAAATTGAAGATGCAAATAAGTAGAAGCATATACCATGTTCATGGATAGGAAGAATTAACATCATTAAAATGTCCATACTACCGAAGCACTCTACAGATTCAATGCAATTCCTACCAAGATACCAATGGCGTATTTCACAGAACTAGAACAAATATCACCAAAATTTATATGGAATCACAAAAGAACATGAATAACAACAGTGATCTTGAGAAAGAAGAACAAAGTTTGGAGGAACCATGCCACCTGATATCAGACTATACTACAAGGCCATAGTAATCCAAACAGCATGGTACTGCCATAAAAACAGACATAAATATCAATGTAACAGAATAGACAACCCAGAAATAAATCCACACCTTTAGAGTCAATTAAAATTTGACATAGGAGGCAAAAACATACAATGGACTAAAGATAGTCTATTCAATAAATGGTGTTGGGAAAATTGGACAAATATGTGCAAATAGATGAAACTAGACCATCTTCTTATACTGCATCAAGAATAAACTCAAAATTGATTAAAAACTTAAATGTTAGACTCAAAACTATAAAAATCCTGGAAGAAAACATAGGCAGTAAAATCTCAAACATTTCTTGTAGCAATATTTTTCCTGATATACCTCCTTGGGCAAGGGAAACAAAAAAATAAACAAATGGGACTACACCAAACTTAAGAATTTCTGCACAGCAAAGGAAACCATCAACAAAATGAAAAGACAACCCACTGAATGGGAGAACACATTCACCAATGATACATCTCATAAGGGGTTAATATCCCAAATTTATAAAGAACTTATAAAACAACACCAAAAAAACCAAACATTACAATTAAAAAATGGGCAAAAGACCTGAATAGACACTTCTCCAAAGGGGAAATACAGATGGCCAATAGACATATGAAAAGATGCTCAATATTACTAATTATCAGAGAAATGCAAATTAAAACCACAATGAGATATCACATCACACCTGTCAGAATGGCTATCATCAATAAATCAACAAACAACAAGTGTTGGCAAGGATGTGGAGAAAAGGGAACCCTCATGCACTGTTGGTGGGAATGCAGACTGGTACAGCCACTGTAGAAAGCAGTAGAGTTACCTCAAAAAATTAAAAATGGAACTGCCTTATGACCCAGCAATTCCACTTCCGGGAATTTATCCAAAGAAACTCGAAACACTAATTTGAAAGAATGTATGTATCCCTATGTTCACTGCAGCATTATTTCCAATAGCCAAGATTTGGAAACAGCCCAAGTGTTCATCAGTAGATGAGTAGATGAAAAAGCTGTTGTACATTTACACAATGCCAAAATACTCTGCCATAAAAGGGAAGAAAATTTTACCCTTTGTGACAGCATGGATGGACTTGGAGAACTTATTATGCTAAGTGAAATAAGGCAGTCAGAGAAAGACAAGTACCATATCATTTCACTCATATGTGGAATTTAATGAACTGAACTAACAAGCAAAACAGAGAGACTCATAGAGAGCAGGCAGGTAGCTCTGGTGCAAGGTGAGGGGTATTGGTGGGGAGTGGAGGGATTGAGCTAAAAAGGAAAAAAAAGAGAACTCATGGATATGGACAATAGTGTGGTGATGGAGGGGTGGATGTGGAAGAGGGCATAGAGGGGATAAATGGTGATGAAAAAATAAAGTAAAATAAATAAAGATTTGCAAAGACTTGGCCAAGCTTCTGGGGGATATTAATATCAGAGAGAATGTAACCTTCAAGATAAACCTTGGGTTAGTTCAAGCAGTGGCTGATAAGAGTTAAGGACTAATAAGACTGTAATGGTTAATCACTCAGGGAGAGAGGACAAGTATCTGGAATATCCATCACCAGTCTCACATCCCAAGTTCTTGGCAAACACTGCTAGTAAGTCATGGATGTGGCCCCAGAATTCCATGCATTTCAACGTGCCCAGCAGCCATGATTAACTTACCAGAGATGATAACTGAGGAAAAACCTAGTTGTGATCCCTGCTTTCACCTGTTTTCTTGAAAACATTCTCTGTTATTATTCTTTAAAGTGAATCTAGGCTTCTACTGCTTGAGTTCGGCTACTTTCACACACAATTCAATTCTTTTCTCTTTTATTTTCAGAATTTTTAAACCCATAAAAAAGTTTCAATACTATATGAACACACATGCACTTTTTATTTAGATTTGTAAACTGGCAACGTTTTACCTTTTCTATACGTATTTTTGTTGCACCAACTGAGAGTAAGCAAACATGACATTTGCCACCTGAAATACTTTAGCCCATCTCCTAAGAACAAGGACACAATTCATTTATCATACTCAAGAAAATGAACTGGTACAACACTACTCTGTAATATACAGTCCACATCCAAATATCTCTGCCTAGTT